CGACAACTTGCGCGGCTCCGTATCAAGAATCAACAGACGACCGACAGCCACCGTTACAACCTTCGACGACGCTTCGGGAATACCACCGGTGAACGTGTTGGGTGTGGACGCCGATACGCGACGTGGATAAGTGAAAAGCTTCTGCGACGGTATTCGGACCGTACAGGGTGGTTTGACGTCTCGGCCCACTTGATTACGAGGTTGTCCCGACGGCATCACGAACTCTCAACGAGCCGATCGCGACTGAAGTCGTCCATGTCGCACGCCTAAAGCCGTTTCATGCGCGTTAACAAACTGAAACAGTGTTTTTTGTATTATTGTTGTATTGTAATTTATTCATTGTTACTGCATTATTATTGTACCTTCATCTTTAGTTGAAGCATCGAGACGATGCCTTTTTCAGAGGGGGGCAATGCCACGTTCCATTTCCCAAGCTTTTGTTATCGTCCCAAAACACCACACGATCTCAGCGCAAAACCGCCCTGCAGTTTTCGAGAGGGTTCCGGACTGTAGTAGATCATTTCGATAAGATCACGCCCACTGTGCGAATGGTACAGATTGTTCTGGAACGTACGCCGCCGCCAGCGGTAACGCTTAACATTCGACGGCAAGGTATATATAAATGCCGACGCGCTTCGCCGCTTGTCAGTTGTTGATCGAAGGCCGACGCTCCGTTCGCCGCTATCAGTCCGAGACTGCTATCTGTGCGAGACTGCTGCTGTAATTGGACTTTCCGTTTACCGGGCACAGGTTCGCCTAAATAAACAGTTAAATCCGAACACGAAGTCTCCTGTCTTCGGCCACGTCACGACCCCGTAATGCAGAAACAGTAATGCAGAAAGCAGTATCATAGAAGACGTAGATGAAATCGCTTCACCTTGATTATTTTTTTTCAGGACATGGAGGTCTTGGTGGACTTTATGTGGCGCAAACGACAACTGATTCGGTAGCTGCACGTAAGTGGATCTGCCACTTTATAATGGAAAATAATTATATATGCTTTGAGGACGGTATATTTGATTCATGCATGACAACCTGCGTATAATTACTCGAGAAAATTCGTGCTTTTTACACGTGCAAGTAACTGTTAAAGAGTGAGTGAGAATTTATTAGAAGGCAGAGAGGTCGGCCTGAGCTAGTTCGCTCTAGCCTGCTACTCTGCACGGGGGATAAGGGAAAAGGGAAGGAAAGAGGAATGAAGGGTGATGATGGGGACAAGAAGAGGTGGTGCGTATGTACAGTAGCCACTTAGCATGGTACCCTACAGTCTAGTTTCTAGTCCAGTCGTTTTTATAAAGTCTAGAACAGCCTTTGTAGCAGTTTTTGACACTGTTTGGTCGTTCATTGCTGACAATATGTGGCTTTCACTTAATGGTGTTCGTCCAATGCTTGCCAACGTTGCAGTTAGCATTTTTCTTTGCGCCACGTATAATGCACAGTCACAAAATATGTGAGCTATCGTTTCGCGCACTTGGCAGCGTTCACAATTTGGGCTGTCCGCACGGCCGATTAGGTGGGTGTAGTGGCGAGTGAAGGCGACGCCCAGGCGAATTCGGTGCAGTATATTAGCATGTCTTCGGCTGATTTTATCTGGAAGACGAAAAGTCATACCAGGGTCTGTTTCCCGCAGGCGCTTGTTCCGGTGATCTGGTAGCGACCAGTAAGTGGCAGCGCATTCGCGCATGAGTGATCTCAACAATTTGTTGACGTCACCTCGCGAGTAGGGTACTTTGACGTACATAGGAGCGTTGTATATTGCCGCTCTTGCTTCGCTATCGGCTGTTTCGTTGCCAACCAGGCCGCAGTGTCCAGGAATCCATTGGAGTGTAATCAAGTGACCACTCCTGTGTGTTAGGTCAAATGCTTGGACGATTCCTAACGTTAACTCGTAAAATTGGCCTCTTCTTGAGTAAAAATGGATAGCTTGAAGCGCTGATTTTGAATCAGACAGAATTGTCCGTTTACGCGGTGATTGGTCGTTCACAAATTTTATGGCTTCTTGTATAGCAACAAGTTCTGCAGCTGTCGAAGATGACCTATGATCTAATTTGTACTGTCGGGAAATACCGAGTTGAGGGATCTCGAAGGCTGCAGCTGAGGCGGATGAAGTTACGGATCCATCGGTGTAAATGTGCACAGAGTCGCTGTATCGGTCATCTAAATGTGCCAAGGTGAGTTGCTTGAGTGCAATATAAGAAACATGCGACTTATACGAAATTCCACGTATGTGAAGGCACACTAGTGGTTTAGTCAATGTCCATGGAGGCACTGCAGGGATTACGGCAGGTGCAAAGCCTGACGGGATCATGTGCCTATGCGTATCGAGGCATCGCGAATAGGTACAGCCTGGTCGGTCCACTTGTAGCGAAGACAAAGGTTGCTGTGCATGTCGGGTCAGCAGACGAAGGTGCACTCGAAGAGGCTCACAGGACGTTTAAACCTGTATAGGGTAGGTGCGGGACTCCTCTATAGTGCCAGAGGTGGACGTGCACCGTGGCAGGCTCAGTGCTCAGTGCTCGTGCCTGAAGGCTCTCTAATGTACGAAGGCACGTTGCCCGCATGCTGGAAAGCACAGGTGAGCTGTACCTTACTTAGCCCACAAGCAATGCCTTGTATAACTGCAGAAGACTTTTCTCCGAAGGGCCCCATCTCAGTCCTGCTATAACACGAAGGACATACACAAAACTGATTAGTTAGTTTCGCAGCACAGTCACATGTACGCTTTGACCAGGACAGGTTGCGATCAATGACGACCCCTAAATAGTGGTGGTGCTTAACCACGCGAATGACTGCTCCGTGAGCGAAGATTGGGTACCGCGACATTGATTTCTTCGTAAATGCCAATGCAGCACATTTTGCTATTGAAAGTTCCAGGCCTTGACGACGTAAGTACTTAGATGTTATTGATGTGCCTTGTTGTAGCCTTGCTCGCAGTTGTGATCGCGTTAATCCAGATGCCCATATGCATATGTCGTCCGCATACGCACTGATTCTGACAACGTCGGGAAGCTCAGCTTCAAGGCCAATGAGTGTTATGTTAAAAAGCATGGGGCTCAGGACGGCGCCTTGCGGAACTCCACGGCTTACGAGGTGCCTGGCCGTGTCACCATCGGATGTCGACATAAAATGGTACGTCCTCTGAGATAGCTCCCTATCCATGCGTGTAGTCGGCCACCTACGCCGATGTCTTCAAGTGCGTCAAGAATGGCCTCATGGTAGACGCTATCGTACACGCCCTTTATATCTAAGAAAATGGCCCCTACCAATCTCCGACGTTGTTTTTCCTTTTCAACAGAAGAAACTAGATCATCTACAACACCATCTATAGATGATCGACCACTACGGAAGCCATTTATAAAATCTGGTAAGCCGACATTATTCTCCAGCAGCCATGCCAATCTTGCCAGCACCATGCGTTCCATCACCTTACCGATGCAACTGGCTAGGGCAATGGGTCTAAAGAAGACAACTCGTGTGAACACTTGCCTGGTTTCAGTAAGGCTACTATGCGGCTGCACTTCCAACTCTCTGGGACTGTCGCTGTTTCCCACGTAGAGTTGTAGAACGACAAGAGAGCCTGCCTTGCTTCCTGGCTGAGGTGATAAGAGCCGAATAAGTAATTCCGTCAGGCCCTGGTGCGAACGACCATCGGGACGTAGAAATCGCAGCGTCCAGTTCGTGCATTGTGAATGGTAAGTCGAGGCGATCGTCGCTGGATGGCGGTGAGGCTAAATACGAAGGTGATATCGATGAGGAGGACGTACCTACGAGTAAGTGGCAGTAATCTTCTGCAACCTCTACTTCAGGTCGACCTTGCTTTAGAGCCAAAGATCGGAAAGGGAACAACTGTTGAGTGGGCGTCTGAAGGCTTCGCACAGTTTACCATATTCGAGACAGGGGTTTTCTGGATCAAGAAAGCTACAAAATACCCTCCATCGTTGCCTATCGAGCTTATCGAGATGTCGCAATACATGTCGTTGTGCTTGGCGTGCTGTAGATAGGTCAGATGGTGATTTCGTCCTCCTGTATTTTCTCTCTGCCCGGCGACGAATTGCACGAAGGTATTCATAATGTGCGTCAAGTTGTGATCTTGGTAGCGACACATTCACAAGTTTTGTATGCGTTGTTAAGGCTGATGCAATTAGGCTTTCTATTTCAGATATAGATTGAATGTTCCGTACTGAGCATTTACAGAAGCTTGGAATCCTGGCCAGTCTACGCTTTTCACAGGCCGGGGAACGAACGACGGAATCCTTTTAGCTGTATATTGTAGGGAGATGGTCACTTCCATGTGTTTCTACGTCTACAAACCAACAGGTGGTAGGCAAGAGACTTCTGCTCACAAAACATACGTCTAGACAGCTGCTGTACGATGCGCCGGAGGTAAGTAGGTGAGCCATCGTTAATGGACATAAGGCCCTGATTGAGCACAAAATCGGCAATGTCCCTACCGCGGGTGTTCGATGAGGCAGAACCCCACATGGGATGATGTGCATTAAAATCCCCAACTAATACATGTGGTCCAGGGCAAGCTTGGAGAACAGACAAGAGATGAGGACAGTCCACGTGGCTTCTAGGAGGAATGTATCCACCGACGATATTGTACGTCGCTTGTGCTTTGTAGATAGGCAAATATAGTCGTTAGAAGCATGATGAGCCACGGCATGTCTCAGCGTACGTTAAATTTTGACGTACGCATATAATTACTGTTGCTCAAATTTCGATCATCACGTGACCACAAAGTGACGTATCCGGATATACGAAACTGAAGACATCATATTCGGACTCACATATTACAACCAACGGAAATTTGTATTTAAATATCCGTTGTCGAAAGTCAGACAATCGGCTTCGCAAACCTCGCGCGTTCCACTGCATTATAGCAGAGGTGCGCACACGTTCATCGTAGAAATTCGCCATATTGTTTATGAAAGGGTCAGCAGTAGCGGTTCCAGCACGTTTGAGGATCTGCACTGCTGTTTTCGCTCTGGGTGTGGTAGCTCGTTGAGAATCGCAACGAATAGATTTTAGTAGATGCTTCAGCATAGTTTGGGCTTCTTCTCAGTGTCTTGCCTATCATTTTCCGCCTCTTTGAAGTTGCAGCCCATGATGTGGTCTGTTTTTAGTGCTCCGGTCGGTAGCGAAGGCCACTCAGTATCTGAAGCATCGGCGTGCAACGCGGGCGCTGGTCCACTTCTGCATCCCTGGGACGTGGTGCGTACAACATGGGTGTAGCGGCCTGATAATGCGCACGTGTATGGTCATCTGTTTGCTGATGGTGATGCATCACTCCTATGTTCACTATGCTTTCGCTGGTGCCTACGTTTGGACGACGTCGTGTCGGTGGATGGACGTGACTGCCTTTCGGTGTGTCGAGTTGTCTCTGACCATCTTCCGCAGAGAGAGAGAGAGAGAGAAAACTTTATTTGCGCATAACGCAGAGCATTCCAAATGGTCGGGCCCCTATTCCAGGGCTCCGCTGGCCCTAGCCATCATCTCTACCCGATGGACCAGCCTGATCAACAATGACCGAGCTGGACAGCAGCGCCTCCCATTGTTCCTCTGTGTTGTTCATGTTGTTGTGTTCTTCATTGTGATGCGTACCGTGATGTGAAACAGAGTTGGTGTGGCCCCACACACACGGACATATATCTTTGTATGCTGTGGGGTAGAATACATGCAGCCTGTTAAGTTCGTGTATGTGTTTGTTTGGATTCTGCGTAATGCCACCGATTCCATTGCTGTGAGTTTCTTATGCGGTGCTGGATACACTTTTCTATTGTCCCTGTAATACTGAAGAATTGCACCAAAGTTAGGGTCTAGGGGTGTTGGATCCTCTATTGCAGTGTGCAAGGAAGCTCGGTAATTTTTGAAGCCTCGACCCGCCTCATCCGCAAACTGGTTCCCGGTGACGCCCTCGTGCCCTGGCGCCCAGATAATGGTTTGGGTGTATTCAATTGGGAAGTCCTTGTGAGCTTTGGTTAGAATTTGGAAGGCCTTCATACATATTCTACCTTTTTCGTAATTTCTACATGCAGCCTTCGAGTCTGTGATTATTGTCATTGGGGCTTTTCGCTCCCTGCCCTCCTTGATTGCCAGCGGGATCGCTATCTCCTCCGCTTCTGTGATAGAGGCTTTGGCTATGGAGGCACAACTTGTGACGTTTCCTTTTCGGCCTGTGACCACGGCTACCATGTTTTCTGCATTTGCCTGATATAGTGCAGCGTCAGTAAATCTCGCTGTATTCAGGTATTTTGTCTGTTTCTATGTAAACGGCTCTTGCTTTACGTCTTCCAGCATGTAAACTGGGTCCATGTTCTTCGGTAGGGGACATATTTTGTACCAGGCTCTGACTGAGCACGACAATTCCTTAGCTCTTCCATGTGCCTGTACTTGTTCGCCGAGGCCGATCCTCTGAAGAAGTTTTCTGCCGCTTGGCGTCTGTAGCAGGCGGTTAATCTGGGTGGTTACTTGTGCCTCAGCCGACTCATCAAATGTATTGTGAAGTCCGAGCGCTAATAGTTTCGCAGTTGAAGTGCTTTGTGGTAGTCGCAGAGCCGCTTTATATGTCATCCTTATATTTTGTCTGCTTTTTCTTTCTCCTCTCTATTCATGTTGTGGTAGGGTAGCGAGTATGTTAGTCTGCTGATGACTAAGCTCTTTACAAAACGAAGCAGCGTCTTGTTCTTTCAGTCCAGCACGATTGTTCGTATTCGAACTATCATACGAACAGTTTGTTGAGCTGTTCGTTTAAGCATATTCAGTGTGTGGAGACATCGCTGATTGGACTGTAACCACATCCCTAAGATTGAACAGTTGTTTTTCTCCTGGTATAATATGGCCGTCTAGCTTGACCTCAAGGCGGAGGCTCGGGTCTGTCCTTGTTTTTACTCTTGGAGAACCGAATGAGTTCCGATTTGTCTGCTGAGCACTGAAGCCCCCTTTCTTTAGTGTAATCTTCGATGGTTTTAGCTGCCAGTTGAAGCCGCTCTTCTTTTTCCGCCAAGCTGCCCTTGGTTGTCCATACAGTGATGTCATCCGCATAGAAGGAGTGTCGGATGTCGGGATACCTTCCAATTTTTTGGCTAGACCAATCATGGCTATGTTGAAAAGCGTAGGCGAGATCACAGCGCCTTGTGTGTGCCTTTGCTCGGTGGGTGGAAGACATTGGATTCGTCTTCCTCCTAATCTGATAACACCGTTCTTGTAGTAATGAAGTTCATGTACATATTTGTACGTCCTTTGACCGCAGTTTGTCGCTGCTAGCCCATCTAATATGGCCTTATGGCTTACGTTGTCAAAAAGCGCCTTTTATGTCGACGGCACATGACAATGTTTTCTCCTGCTTTTGAAACATTTGTTAGTACTTTCCTCTTTAAAAGTAGAAAAGGATGTCCGTGTCAAAGGTTCGAGCGGAAACCAAACATGGTGTTTGGCAAACAAGTTATTTTGTTCAAAGTGCCGTTGAAGTCTGGTATTTATTAATCTTCAAACACTTTGCCTAAGCACGATGTAAGAGAGATTGGCCTGAGGTTTTCTATTGCCAAATTTCTTTCCCTGGTTTGGGTATCATATTATTACAGCAGGCTTCCATTGCTGAGGTATAGCGCCATTCACCCAGTGTTTGTTAATGAAATTTAGAAGCGCTGTTATGGCTTCGTCATTCATGTTGCAATCATGGCATTGGTGATTTGGTCCGCCCCAGGCGCTGTGTTGCGTTTCATGCTGACTATTGCCGCTCTGACCTCGGCATGCGTGAAAGGTGCATCCAGTTCTGAGTTTGGGAGCCCAGTGTATTTAGCCTGGTAAGGGGGCTGTGATGCCTCGGGCGCCGAAACACTTAATATAGATGTCTTGAAGCAGGTCATCTCGTGTGCCTGGATATGTGTGCAATAATCTTTCTAGAGATTTTTGTCCTTCGGCTTTAGTTTTCAGAGGGTCAATCATTGGCTCTTAGGATATTCCATGTCTTTGCTGTTCCTAGGGTTCCATTTGAATCGAAAATTGTTCCCAGTTGGCTGTCGCGAGTTGATTAGCGTACTGTTCGGCTTGCTGCGTTATTTCTTCAATTTCGCTTTGAGTTTCTTATTTCGCTTTTGCCTTTTCCATCTTTTAGTGAGGTTTCTTCTTGCTTCCCACAGGTGGAGAAGGTGAGCGTCTACTTCAGGGGTATCATCTGTTCTGGCGACAGTTTTGGTGTACATTTGCTTTTCATTTCGAATTACTTTGCACCACTCGTCCAAGTCGTCTATGGCGGTCACGTGCGCTTTTAGCGCTTTTCTATATGCATGCCAGTCTGTAATTTTGGCTGTGCCGATGTGTTTGCGGATTCGGCCGGTGCGGATTGTGGTGCTTAGTATGTAATGATCACTGCCCAGGTTTTCAAGGGTGTTGTACCAGTCCACGCTGTGGCAGTTTGTACTATCGTCAAGTCCGGACTTGTGTCCATCTTCCGCAGGACGCGAATTTCTTCTTTGATCTTCGGGCACTTTTTCGACGTTGCTTCATGATGCACCAGAGCAGTTTGAGCATTTCAATGGAACAGCAGTATCGCAGTTTTCCACCTTATGAGACCCGCCGCACCGCTGGCAAGTTGTATCACTTTTGCACACTGCGCTGACGTGTCCCAACTTGCAGCACTTGTGACACTGCAAAGGCCGTAGCACGTAAGCGCGCCACGGGATGTCTCACGTATCCAACCTTCACGCTAGGGGGCAGAGTTCTCGAATCAAATACTAGTTTTGATGCAGCGAGACTGTCCGAAGCGACGTATGGTCACGATTTTGACTGTGACGTCACAAGATTCCTGCAGGTCAGCGTCTGTGATGTCAGCGTCGACGTCAATTATCGCGCCAGTCGTTGTTCCTTTCCCGTGAGCGACAAACGCGCGAACTGAAATACTTCCGAGCTGCGTGACGGCCTTCAGTTTGTCAAGAATGGTTTGTTTGTCACATCAACTGACATATGTTTTTTCCTGCTATTCTTGCGAATTTCATCACTTGAGCAAATGCTACACGCTCGAAATAATTAGTCAATGACTGCTTGTTTTAGTGAGTTCAGGTTGGTCTGATGTAGACATGGGTACATACGAGATGGTGAAAACATCGCTTGCCTTTGTCTAGCGCCGGTTGTGGCTCCGCCGTTGATTACGTCCTGCGAAGCTTCCTTTTCAACCGGCGGGCATGGAATGTCCTGAAGTCGGCTTCCGATTCCATCTCTTCATTGATGAGCTCTCGGTAGAATCATCACAAGGAGCAGATGCGCCAACGCGGTCACCCACATTCGGTCCATCCTTATGCAAACGGCTAGGGCCCGCGTGTCTCGTTGGATGGATGGTCCCCATCCCGGGGGGTGACGTCTTCCGTTCTGCTTGTTCAGAGAAAGTCAGGAATTCTGACAGTTTAAGAAAAAACGATAGTTGTTCAAGGCAGAATTATGCCCGAACGCACTTCTTCTTCCTCGTCTCCGGCGCATCAACTGTTAGAAGCACTAAAGAACTTCAGTGCTCCTGTGAAAACTTGAACTAAGTAGGGTGGAATCATGCTGAGATGTAACGATCTAAGTAATGTAGACTGATCATTCAAAATAGCAATGTCACAGTCAGCTTACCCGGAGTTGTGATGAAAAATGGGCTAATGCGCAAAGCAACGCAACTTCGGGCGTTGTTACATTGACTAGAATGGTCGATGCTAAATAATCGACTGTGAAAGCACGCTTACTCTACTAAAGTGCTCTGTTCGCAGCCATTGGCTGACCACTGTCAAAGTTTGCGGATATCAGCCTATTTTTGATAAGCGCGGTGACACTGCGTCCTGAAACGAGCAGATAGCGTGATATGTTTTCCGCATTTAGTAGAACGGTGCTTTTGTGTAAGGGTGCTTTCGATTTGTTTTCACTTCAGTGAAATTTAAATATCTAGAAATTTTATTGACACAGCTTATGATAGTGTGCTAGAGCTGATCATTTAGGATGTAAGGCCTGTAATAAATATATGTCAATTTCTGCTATGCTTCGTTTGTTAGTGCGTAAATAATAGCTTCTATTTATCTCACTGTTTTATTAATTGTTGGGGTTTTGGCATCCTAAAACCACGATGGGAATATGAGGGACGCCTTAGCGAAGGGGCTCGGGAGATTCGACTTCCTGGGTTCTTTAACGTAACCTAAATCTAAGCACATGAGCCTCGAACATTTTTTCCTCCATCGAAAATGTGGTCACTGTGACCGGTATTCAATCCCGCGAACTTCGGTTCAGCAGTCCAGCACTAAACGCCTTGACTATCAATAAACAGTTGTTTTCCAATAAACTTTGTATTTTAGTTCAGTGCCGTGTTTGTGCCTTCATGTAGCCCGGTATTACGAGCTAGCTGCTTTACTGTGCCTCTATGACGCAATCAATGACCACATTGACCATGCTTGTCTCATGGTATAGTGTTTGCCCAATTTTTCTGACCTCCTAACGTCGTCTAGTAAAAAAAAGCAGTACTAAAGATTATAACTAACAGCTTCACGATAGTTCCCCTCATAATATGGGCACAAAAAATATGTTGAATTTGAACTCTTCGCTTTATTCTTTAATAATTGCATCGACAGCACGTAATATAGAGTAGTGGTACGTGTGTTTCAGTGGCCAATACGGGTGCTGGCATAACAGGAGTGGTACTGCAAAATAAGGCAGACAAAAATGATAATAAGGGTGAGTACACCAACAGATACTTCACGAGAACGAATTCTGTAGCCATTTACAACGCGAGTTTAAGAACGAAACAGTTTTTTTAAAGTGTTATGCACCAACAAATACGCACGATTTTTATTCTGGATGCGTTTAAAGTTCCCCAGCGCAGAAGTACAACTGCTTTTTTATGCTCGATAAACAGAGTACACACAGTGCCAGTGAACAGCCGGTGAACAAGTATAGGGTGATTCTTTCAGAGCTGGTCTATATTATTTGACTGTATTTTTGTTACTGTGTATCCATTTCAAATGCGGAGCATATTATTTGAAGCGGTATGAGCCTTGGGACTGGAGAAGAAGAAGCACGAAAGCCGGGGGCAGGAAAGAGAGAAGGATGAAGTTAGGAATGAAAGCAGATTAAGATGGACGCCAGTTCATACTGAAGCTATAATGCTGTTCCGTTCTTTTAGGCAGGAACACTACATTATATATTGGTCGCACCTACTAGTAAATCGGCACTGGTGGAGTTCGGTGGCCGCTTTCACCTCTGAGAGCAGAGCGATGACATTATCAACACAACAGCAACAATCGGAATGGTCGTGGGGTGATCACCTGACCACATTAAACGACATTGCAACAACATTACGGACTATACAGACGCAAATACCCACCACCACACAAACAAATGAGACAAAAAACAGGCCGTAACTCTGAGGTTATTACAAACAAATACGTACCCCAGCCCGGTGATCCTATACGCCTGTGTTATCCTCACCAATACCCGACGGACGCGTGTAAAGCGTACAGGGAAAGGGCCACAATGCAGCAAATGCTTTGGGAGTGTGCTGAAAAACTTTACGTCACTGCCGCCGCTGCCTTCGCGACGTATTTTAGGCAGGGACGAACTCCGAGGCCAATTGCTGCTGCAACCACCGCGCGAGGGCAGGGGCCGGCCTCCACCGGGGCTGCGGTCCCTGTTGCCGATCGGCAGCGTCAGTCACGCTGCCACTGGGAGGCGGCAGTCACCAGCGACGAGCTGGTCGACCAGCTTTGGGCCGTCCAGCAAGCTGAATATGCCGCCCGGGTGCAAGGACTTTGAGCGGCCACCTGAGGCATAGAGATTCCTAAACTAAGAAACTCCATGTTTTCAACCAGTGATTCGGCACAACCCAACATCAGCGTCCCACCACTCGTTCGAGGCAACGCTTCTCCTTCATTCAATAAGTGAAAATAATAAAGACGAAATAACAATTAGGCATTCTGAAACACTACCCAATTACGCAACATCCGCGTGATAACCCCCTCCCACTTCACCACTCTGCTGCGCATTTACTCCCTCGTGGAAAGATGCGGGCAGCATTTTTTTAATGAGGCTTGCGGCAAAACATTCAGGAAAAATGAAAATGTACTGGGCTTTTCCGTTTGTTATGTGGAACGCCGATAACAAAAAAAAAAAAACACTGCGAAATACTATAGAAGGAAGTATGCCTAGTCCGGTTCAGCGTTCGTGTTAGCCAATGCCGACTGAAGTTGGTGGTGGTAGGTTTATCACTTGACGTTGACCATGCATATCCACGAGAGCGTCGCATCGCCTTGGCGCATGCGCACTTGCGCGCTCCCGGCGTCTCGTTTGAAATTTGACGGAAGATCGTGATTTTACTTAGTTTTGATTTGTCCCCCTTTTAAAGGTACACATGAAAAAACTAGATGGGCCATTATATTTTCATCCTTCTTGAATGCTTTGTCGCAAAGCACATGAGAACTGGATGCCCGAATCGCATAATCTGTATCAGAGATACAGCTCACTGAAATAGGCCAGTTCTAAAAAAAAAGAAAAAAACTTCACCCCGCAGAATTATCGTTACACGCACAGATACGAAGTCATTGCTGATATTTACATCAGATCTGACATGATTACAAGGTTACATTACACAAGTCAACGAGTTGGTCAAAAGTGGAATTAATGAAAATAGGAACTTATACCTTGTGCGATGCTCTGTGAAGTTCCGGTATATTAGGCTTAAAAACTTCTTTGAGCACATTGGTTCCACTCTCATAGGTCACGGTGTGCATAGGCTTCGCGCATTTTATTATGCATGTGCACATTCGTTGACAATTTCAAGTGTACATTAAGCTCAAGAGCAAAAAAAAAAGATCATACATTAAATAAAAAGACGCTGTACTAGACAATGAAATTTCGAGAATCGCAATGAGTTGTGCGGAAACCGGCAAGGTGTCGAAAAGTTGAGAAAGGGAAAGAAGACAATCACCCGTTTTGTAGCACGAAGCCACAAGAAATACGTACAGATTTCTAAAAAAGAAAAGCTACTTAGGTGTCAAAAAATTCATCCTGATCTAGGATTCAAACCAAGGACCAACGCCTTTCCAGAGCGGTTGATCTACCAATTTAGCTAACCAGGAAGCTAGCAATTGATAGCGCGAGGGGAATTCATCGACCCCTCGAAGCACATATACCAAGCACTGCATGAGTTCTGCGGAAACCCAGATAGCGAAAGGGTTTCTCTTTCTTAAAATTGGGAAATTTCACAAGTAATGTTGAAAACACATCAAGACAAATTGCTTTCAATTATAATAGAAGTTTTAATACTTGCCCGAGAACTGCAGTAAATACAAGTAACACAATCAGCACCAACAAAAATTCAAGGCTGTACCATACAAAGAAAAAAAAAAACAACAGTCATCAGCTCACGGTCACGGCAGCAGTCCGCATGTCAACAGATATGTTCCTATATTATGTTATTTATTTATTTATACTGTCAATCCCATCTGAGATCATTACAGTAAGGGCATATCCGACTTGTTACAATACAAAATACAAGTAGAAACATTCAATTACACGGAAAGAAGATATTGGAAGTTAACAAGGTAAAGAAAAAGAACTCAATAGTACACCATAAGCCATCATAACATATGTATTTGGAAGTGTCAATCTTTATATCTTTGTGAATTAACTGATACGTCAGTTTCAATCGCGCTAGCTTGGCTCGGTTTTGTAAGATGAGGATCCGGCTTGTTTTAGCAATGCTGTGGGTGAATATTTTAGCCTATATTTATTGTAAACGGACCTTAGAGCCTTTCTTTAAACGCTTCGACTTTGTAATGAGTTTTTTAGTGGAAGTAAACAAACAACGTTAGCGCATATATACAATTGCAAAAGAATGCTGTATATCAATCGGTAACTTGCCCATGTACCCTCCTAGTTGCCACCGAAGGTGAACAGGTCGGAGAGGAAAATAACGAAAGTGAACAGTGAACCGCAAAAAAGGTATGTATTTTGCATAGTCACCGTACTACTACTTCATTTCCTACCCATTATGCAGAATAACCTGCGCAGACAAGAGATGTAGATGACTATGTGAATTGAGGCCATGTTTGCATCTACATAACAACTACGCTTATTGGCGACACCGAGCATGACTTTCGACGTAGGCAGGAGTCTGGTCGACGCATAGAGTTTCCTAAAATTAACTAGAGGTACTCTGTTGCCTGTGATCGATCATTCAGAGACCGGGGAATTGGAGTTATTTATTTTTATTTTCACCAAAACAGATACATTGGCGAAAAATGGGGAGACGGCAAAAAAGCTGCACTTATTGTAGCTTGACTAAGCACTGTCCAACCCTAACGTCAGCAATGACAGGGTGAAAACGAAATTCAATAAAATGAAAAAAAAAACAAGTATCATAAAGCAGGAAACAATGCAAGCAGAAGACAAAGTGAATGACAGGCCAAGGTATACAAACAAAAAGGAACATTTCATAAACTTATGAGCACAGTAATTCACAGAGTATGTTCATCGCTTTCGTACATATAAAGGTACACAATGAGGTTACACAAAAGAAATAATAAGGAAAAAATATATAAAAGTACACAATAAATGATGCAAAGCAATACAGAGTGACCTATGTAAACAATACAAATCTACAACAATAGTGTTTGCTCATCGATATTGTTTAATTTGTCAATTTTTATGTCTTGCTGCTCGTATGAGTTCAATATAGTAGGTAGCATGTGGCTAAGTCTTTGGGTGCCGTCATTGGTGCGAGATAACGGAATTTTCCACGGGGGTTTATATCGATGGAAGTAATTGGTTTGTGTATGTTCAAGATTTGCAAGTGTCAGGAATGCGTCGAGTTTCCCTCTGTGTGCGATAATATAGGATTGTAACAACCTGAGTTTGTATATGTCATTTGCCTTAACAATTTTATGTTTAACGAAGAGTTGTCCTGTGTGTTCAAGGTATATGTTTTCTATTACCCTGATCGCTCTTTTCTTAAGTATTTTTTAGCCTATTTAAATTTGTTGACGTAGTGTTTGCCCATACTAAAGCCCAGTAGTTCAATTGGGCATGGAAAAGAGCCTAATATAAGAGTCGCTTTACAGTAAGGGGCAAAAGACGTCGACAACGATTCAGAGTGCCAACCACGCGTGTCAACTTTAAACTAATGTGGTCTGTATGCTCATTCCAGCACATATGTTATTTAAAAACATGAATTTGCCTAGTCTGTGCTTGCGGGCATCGTATACGCAGTTGTGGCTTCGTTTATTGCAGTGTTTTGGTTTTTTTGTCGAGTAAAAGAACAAACTGTTTTGAACTTCATACCCGATTTTAATTGGTGAGCCTAAAGGGCTAAGGTAGTGAAGCGTAACTGATAAGCTATTGCTGATTGTTGTTTTATGGCAAAGCAGCTTCAAGCGATTCGAAGCCAAACTGAGCATAAAATACGAAGATTAGACAAATCAGTGTACTATCCATCATTCCCATGCTCGCTAAAGCATCGTGCATTGCAGTTACCATAGACACTAGCACCAGAGTTTCGTCTAGTGTACTTGTAGGAAACTCTATGGGTCGACGCAGGCGACTTTCGTCCGCGTGTATATCTGTATCTGCTGTCTTTGCCTAAGTCCCACTGGCACGTAGCAATATAGTGTGAACCAGCTCACCCACGTCGAGGTACTATTTCTGCATCTGTTGTATACAGCATGTGCTTATAAGAAGAGCACAATTTTGAAACTTGCCTCCCCGCCGTTCCCGTTGCCGAATACTGTTTTCGTTTGTATTGTAAAATGAAGTAGTTTTCAGGGATTTATACTTGTCGAGAGATTATAGAAAGGTCGCGTTTGTAATAGCTGATTTAGGCTTAAAGTGATACTGCTTGCAGTTCTGGGTTGCGAAAATGTTTGGTCAATAAAATAATGAAACATAACGCCTTCACTCTCAGCATGCTTTTAGTTTTCGTCCTCAATATTGGCCAAGAAGTGTAACGTTTTCACGTAAATTAGACACCCCCCCCCCCTCTAAAGTGATATTGCAGCAGGCTTCTACTTATTCGGGACACAGCAAAATAATTATAAAAGAAAAAAAATATTCGCATTGCCAAACAAATAACAAGATTGTCACGTAGGGTAGCTTCAGAAGTACGATTGTGTTAGCCTTTTACTATGTGTACTGTATATGCGTTTAGTGTAGAAAGCCGCATTGACAACAGAGTTCTATTAAGAGTAATATTAGCTGTAACACCAAATTCGAGTTTATTTAACGATTAGCTGCACACTGATATGAATGTGACATATTGAATTACATATGTATCTGCCTGCCTGCAATGTAATAAACAATACTTATATGCTCGCCAACTGCATTTTGCCACTGCGAGTTTAAAAAAAAAGTAACTTCATAGTTCGAGCTCATATGGATCACGACAGTACATTTGATTATGAATTGCAAGTGAGCAGGCTTTTAACACAAAAAAAAAAACAGTTTAAGGAAACGTTTGGGGCCATGGCCAATAAAAAGTCTACAGAAGTGCGCAGTGAAAGCATTTGAAGTCGGAGCCCTGGATGGGGGGCCCGACCACAACTGCCTGCATTTGCCTTTTCGTTTTCTGAATAAATTATTCCCTCTCTTCCTCTTCCCCAATAAAGAAAGATGTGAGTGGGGCGCGGAGGTGGAAAGCAAAAAGGAGAAAACACATGCCAAGATTACCCGAAGTCAACATAAGCTGTGCGGAAAATAGCCTTTTGCGCATTATCCAAGCCTTCCCCGATTATTCGCAAGCTACTCGTTCTTTTTTTTCTTTTCTTTGCTGCAAGGAAATATATCATTGAGGCCGTGGATGACGTCAGAAGTTCAGCGTAACACTATATTGTTGCCACATGTTTGCTCTCTGCTGCATCACTTTTTAAATATTGCAGAAAGATATGCTTAGGAGGCACCGGAACGGTGTGATCCTTACATGGTATACAGTTCCAGTCTAAGTGGAGTATTAATTTATAACTGTGTACTGCGTTTCCACATAGTTGTATTCCAATAATGGAGACAGCTGCATACTAGCCACTACAGGCAAGTCCAGCAGCGCAACTAATCGGAAATGTTTCATAGTCAATGGACTTAATATTTTAGTCATCAACAGCAACTTTATTTCTTCCTCGAAGGTTTTTTGCAGTCTTAAGGGGCACTAACAGGCCGCAATTTTTACACAATGAAAGCAAGTTCACCCATTAATTCAGAAGGCCACGACGATCACATTTCGTTAATATCGCAGTGCTGAGAGCTAAGCAGATGCCAGATTAAAAAATAAATAAAAAAACCATTGTCACACCGCTATCCCGCGCCTTACACGTCCTTTTCTTCCCGAAATGACGTAATGTTTCCCACTGGCAAATTCACGTAACACTGTCCTCACTGATTGGTTCTCTGAACTCCGAAACTGGGCCTTGGCCTATTCGGTAAGGCTGCTTTGGCCGCATGTCATGTCCGCCACGTACTTGTTTACCTCGTTAGTGTCTCGCACCACGCTTCCTCGCCGGCACACATGCTTGCGACCATCCCGAACAACATGCTGGAAACCTTGCCCTGTCATTGACTGCACTCCTGTGACGCAGTCACTGACATACCTACTTCTCTGCGCGATGGAGAAGCATGGCGAGGCTGGGCAAAAACCGAAATCTTCCAAAAATGATTGTTCTATCTCCTGTAACATTATTGTTAATGCACTTATTCAAAAAGAATTATGTGAAAACATGTTCGCATCGGACAAATGTGCTGTAATATATTATTGCGATGTTTAGATCATGGATTTCTTTACTGGTTCTTCAAAAGAAAGCAGTGGTCCCTGGGCCCGATGTCTAAGTTTATATGGGTTATATATTTGCTAAAAGCTGCGGATCTTCGCTGCAGCCTCCACAGCACTCACGATGTGTGAGCAAGATAGCTTGAAGCAGTCGAACGTAGTAATTACAATGCATGTGCAATTCTCTTTAATTAAATCATGTAGTTGATGTAAGCGTGCGCAGCACGAAATAGAAGCCAGAACTTTGCGCCTTATGACTATAGTCTTCGTACCAATTTAATATATATATATATATTATATAATATATATATTAATTATATATATATATATATATATATATATTATATATGTGTGTGTGTGTGTGTGTGCGCAAATACATTGAAAACTTCTGACATGGTCCTGCGGGACACCACAAGTTCAACCTGGTTCTGTCCCACATAGGCCCGTGAAAACCAACGTACAAAGGAGCATCAACTTTCGATGCTGCACAAAAGAAAAAAAATATTTCCTTAAATGTTAGGAAGAGGTGGCCTAACTGCATTTAGATAAAGACAAAAATGGTTGAAACAAAGGAACCATCGTCTGTTTATGACAACAGAAAACACTTGTGGAACAAACCACTTTCATAACTGTGTAACACTGAGCACTTCACATGTGCACTGCAGTGATATTTCAGGAATTCAACCGCAATTTAGACCCATATTAGTGGCTTTCTGTAGGCGACCCATGAAATGAGATGTAGTAAATCTCTTGCCAAGTTTTACATTGTAGCGATTTGAGTGCGCAGGCTAGTGGTATATATTGTCTCATTTTGGTACGCAATAGAGACTCAACGAGTCAGTTGTGTGACGCGAATGCGGCCTCGCTATCATTTACCTCGTCGCTTTCTGCTGTTTCTTGAACTCTCAACAACTCCACTGATTCATCTATCACTGCATTCAATTCCACTGCATTTATCAGTATAATCCAGTGCATTGGAATGTGGATGTTGTTGGACAGAGGAGATTTACAAATGCCTTGCTATATACCTTCAATGAGCGGCAATACTGCGTCACGTACGCTCAACAGAGGCACCAATCGAGTGAGTAAGAACTGCCATTTTCTTGCGAAGGGAGGGCTTGTCAGCCCTGAACCATTTACTGATAACTTCGTATGCAACAGTTTCCCCAACATCGGTGTAACTGTTTCAAGCCC